GGGCAGGACCGCCGCAGCCGCCCGGCCTTATTTGGCCTGGACCCACGGGCTGGGATGCTGGGGCGCTCCTGGATGAGCTTCCTTCGCCCAAGGCCTGCGACTCCGGCTTCTGCGTTGTAGGGGGGCGGTGTGCTGGGGTTGAGGCAGAAGGAAGGGAGGTCCTGACTGGTCGGGGAGGGCATCTCTTTGGCCGCCCCTTCCTCTCCGGCGAAGCAGGCAGAACATCCCAGTCCAGGTCCACATCCTCTCCTTGGAGGCCCGGCTGCCTCCTGCCCACCCCACCCCGCCGGAGGGCTGACTTTCAGCAGGCCGAGTATGGCGCTTTGCAGAGAGAAGAGGCGTGGCAGAGAACCAGCTGTCCTCACTCATGCTAAGGGCCAGCGCAGAAGGGCCCTAGGAAGTTTCCAGCCCCCATGACCTATTCTGTAAATTAAAAAAAAAATACTATATTTTAAAAATTTCTATTTAACTTTATTTATCTACTATGATTATTTTCCAGTTTGTTCAGAGCGAGACAGAAAAATAGAAATGGAAAGTGAGAAAGCAAGCCACCAGGTACAGGACTTGAACCACCATCAATCACGCGGGAGTCCAGCACCTCCAACCACCGCGCCACCTGCCGGCCCCTTTATATGTTTTAAGGGATATTACCACCAAGCTGGGTGGCGAAATAAAATCAGTACAGAAAGTATTTGTTCTTTGGAGGGAAATACAAGTGACAAGTAGCTTTATTAAGTGCCTGGAAGGAGAAGAAAGTGTGGGGAGGGGAGAGGTATGGGAGGGCTGTGTGTGGGTCCAGCTAGTGACAGAAGACCTCCTAGGGCATGACCTCTGAGCAGACTGAAGGAGGTACGGGCCTGAGCAGAGGATGGAGCTTGCCGCCCTTAGGGTCAAGGAGCAGCAGGAAGGCCAGGCACAGTGGAAAGTTCTGGGCAGAAGGGTGAGAGGGCCTGGCTTGGTCTTAACCAAATCTCTCTGGGCACAGAGTTGAAATAGTCCCAAGGAGGCTGAGAGCAGAAGCCCAGAGATGGCTGATCCAGCAAGAACCAATGGATTCAGACTAGCCAGGTACCAGTGACGGTGGTGAGAAGGGCTGGGATTCTGAAAATATTTCAGAGGTGTGGCCAGTAGATTTGTGGATGGATTAGAATGGACTTGAAAGACAAGAGTCAAGGATGCCTGGTGGTGGCTGGATCCCACATGGCTGACAGCTTGGTTGGAGTCCCCAGCCAGCTTGGAAAAAACCCTGGGTGGGGCCAGCAGGTAGTATAGTGGTTAAGGCATTGGACTCCCACATGACTGACTGGGTTGAGTCCCTAATCCAGTAGTTTGGGGGTCACCCCAGGGAAGCGCAGATGTCCTATGGCAGAAATCTTATAAAGGGGGACCAGCAGATGGTGTAATGGTCATGTAGGTGGACTCTCATGTAGTCGACTGGTTTGAGTCCCAGACCCAGCGACTTAAAACATGCTGGGCACATGTGTGTGCATGTCCAAAATCCCAAAAGGAGAACGGAGAAGGTTTGCTGTGTGGCCATACCCCCGGGGGGTGATTTGCTTTCTGTCTCTCTGGTGAGTGCACATGTTCTATAGTAAAAATTTCTCAAAAAAAAAAAAAAGAAAATAAAATGGGGCCAGCAGTTGGCGTAATGACTATATCACTGGGCTCCCATGTAGTCGACTGCAGTTTGATCCTGGACCTGGTGGCTTAAATTCACACCGGGTGTGCGTGCATGTGTGCCCAAGATCCTGAGAGGAGAATGGAGGAGAAGGGATTGCAGCATGGCCATCCCCCCTGGGGGGTGATTTCTTGCTTTCTGTCTCTCTGTCTTTCTGGGAAGTGCATGCGCCCTATAGCAAAAACCTCTCAAAAAAACAAAAAAAAAAAAAAAAAAAAGAAAAAACCATGTTAGGCATTCATGACCAAAATTCCGAAAGGAGGGAGAAAGGGGGAGAAGGAATGACAGAATGACAGAGTGCTAAACCTCCCTGGGGAGTACTTTCTAAACACTCTCCCTTTCTCCGCCAAGAGCAGTCGTGCCTCTCAGCAAAATAAGTTAAAAACAAAAAAGAGTCCAAGGATTTTGGTCTGAGCAACCAGAAAGCAGTCATTTTCTTTCTTTCTTTCTTTCCTTTTTAAAATTTATTTATTTACTTTTATTCATTCATTCATTTTATTTTGGTTTGACCAGAGAGAGACACAGAGAGAAAGAGAAGGAAAGTGAGAAAGCAAGCCACCAGGTCCAGGACTCAAACCGGGGTCAGCCATGTGGGAGTGTCCAGCGCCCCAACCACCACGCCAAAGCAGTCATTTTCTAAGATAATGGCAATGGGCAGAACAGGTTTTGGGAGAGATCACAAAATTTTTTTTTGGATATATGAATCTTTTTTTAGAGGTTTTCATCTTAGGGCACATGCGCTTAATGGGGAGAGAGAAAGAGACAGATACAGTGAGAGGAAAGTGAGAAATCAACCCCCAGGGGGGATGAAAATGCTGTAATCCCTTCTCCATTCTCTTGGGATTTTGGCCAAACACACACACGTGCCCTGCATGAGTTTCAAGCCACTAGTTTCGGGACTCAAACCATGGTCAGCCATGTGGGAGTCCAGCGAGATGACCGCTACATCATCTGCTGGCCCCTGGACATACCAATCTTAAAAATCTATTTTGAGGGACCAGCAGTTAGCGTAATGGCTGTGTCGCTGGACTCCCATGTAGTCGACTGTGGTTCGCATTCCAGACCCGGTGGCTTAAAACTCATGCTGGGCGCGTGTGCGTGCGTGCCCAAGATCCCGAGAGGAGAATGGAGGAGAAGGGATTGCGGCGTGGCCATCCCCTCTGGGGGGTGATTTCTCGCTTTCTGTCTCTCTGTCTCTCTCTGTCTGTCTGGCAAGCGCTTGCGCCCTATGGCAAAAACCTCTCCAAAAAAAGAAAAAAAAATCTATTTTGAAATACGTTCAAATATACAATAAATTCACAAAAATAGTATAAATACCTTAATCTATGTCATCCACTTGACATTTGGTTTTACTATTTTCTTTTCTTTCTCTTCCTATCTGCTAGTGTATATGCATTCCTTTATTTCCTTTACCACTTGAGAGTAAACTGCAGACATTATTCCCCTTCCTAAATTTCAGTATTTTCTAAAAAGGATCTTGAATATCCATAGTACAATGATCATTTTTAAAAAATAATTATTTATTTAATTTCATGTGAGTTTTGCCAGAGAAAGACAGAGAGAGTGAGAGAAGGAGAATTAGAAAGCAAGCTGCCAGGTCTGGGACTCGAAGCACAGTCACCCATGTGGGAATTCCAGCACCTTAACCACCACACCACAATAAAATAAAAATGAGCTTTTAAAAAAATGAACTAATTGATTATTCCAGCCTAAAGGCCCTAGCTAAAACCTCTAGTAAAATGCTAAATAATAGTGAGGATGGCCATACTTGTCTTATTTCTGATTTAGGGGGGAAAAGTTCAGTCTCTTGCTATTAAATATGTTAATTATGGATTTTTTCTTTAAGAGAGAGATTTTTTGTTGTAGGGCATGTGTGTTTGCCGGAGAGACAGCGAGACAGCAAGTGAGAAACCAGCCCCCATAGGGGATGGCCATGCTGCAATTCCTTCTCCTCCATTCCCCTCTCAGGATCTTGGGCGCACACGCACATGTGCCTGGTGTGAGGTTTACACTGCCGGGTCCAGGATTTGAACAACGGTTGACTATGTGGGAGTCCAGCAACATAACCAATACGCCATCTGTTGATCCGAATTGTGGTTTTAAAAAAATCATTTATTTATTTTTACATTTTCCCACAAACATTTACTTCACATATCAAAAATGTTTGCTCCTAGTCAATAGTTCTTGACAGTTAATAACTTTCAAAATTTCAAAAAACTGAATTTTAAAGATAACGTTCAAAAAATTTGTTATAATTTTGTTTGTGACTCTATAACAACAGAGATGACAGTTTGGTTTTAAATATTTTTGAGAAAATATTTACATGTTAAGTACTCAAACTGTTAAAAAGCAAACAGCCAACACATAATTGACACAGAAACCTTCTCAATTCAGCCCTGCCTACCAAGTATTCTGTGATATACCATCTGCTATCAAAGATCAGTCTCTTTTTCTTCCTTCAAAGTCTTCATCAAGGCTTTGGGCTGCTCTTTTGCAAGCTCTACTGATTATAATGCTGGGCTGGACCAATTGTGTTTTTTTTGTAGATGCCCTCTACAGCTTGAGGAAGTTCTCAATTCCATGTTTGTTTGTTTGTTTGTTTTAATCATGAACTAGTGGTGGCTTTGTGAAATGCTTTTTTTTTTTTTTTCAGTCTGGAACCAGCCATTCTGTTTACTGACCAGATTACAAAAATAATCATGGTGGATACCTTAGTTCATCCTTCTAATGAGTGTGTTGATCTGGTCTTCCCTATTGCTAGCATCTCCATCTTTTACAAAATGGTCTTTTTCTTCGTTCCACCTCGTGGAGAAGATAATTTGAAGGGCCACAGGAAGTTATTTGCTTCTTTGAAGCACTTTCCAACAGTACAGATTTCATGAATCAGATCCTCCATGAAGATGATGCCAAATTTACCAAGAGATTGAACAATCAAAGAATTATCTGTCAGAGCAATTCACTTCTTACTGATTTTGCCAAAACCACACTTGTAGGTCAGTTCATTTACTGACTTCAGGTTTGGGTACCCCCATGCAATATATGGTTCCACAATTCTCAGCATGTTAACTGAGACCTCGTTGCACTTAACAAAGGTGCCATTGAAGATGTGGCGATGACAAAGCATTGCAACTTTTGGGCTCACTCCGTTGATACCTCTG